CCCTGACAAGCACTACCTGTTGAGAACAGCCCTCTGATCCTGAGCACTTTTTGATATACATGTTGGTAGCTTAGACGATGTTAATCACTCATTTCAATCATCAAACAAGTGGACACATGACTGTGACTCAAGACATCAACATAACTGTTCCCCACTTGCCCACCTTCATCTGAAGGTTAGCTTTTGTTCTTTTTGAGAACAAAACTTTTATTTTTCTAATCACTGTATTGATAATAGGGTGCCAAATGACGTAACCAAATAGAACATCATGGCCTTGGTGGTGTTTATTGTCACCTTCCTTTTGTCTTATTGATGAGAAATTGTTCATGTTTAGAGAAAGCAAGTAACTGCTATAACCAGTTAAATAAGATCATATGCTACATGGGAATTACTGGAAAAAATTCAATTTTAAAGGGAACCCACTTTCCAACAAGACCAAACAATATCTCACAGAGAAATCAGAATACCAGGATACAGAGGCCGATATTTCACACCAGATATGAGTTGGATCCATTAGAGAACAGTATAAAATGCTGTACTTAAAAAGGAAATTCTAAGATGAAAAGCTAAAAGAAGACTTAAAATGCTGTGTTAAGCAAATGAGCATGGTTTTAATTGTTTAAAAAATCAGGAAAAATCTTTGTTACGAAAATACAAACTCATGAAGAGAATAACAAAAATAGCAGTATATATTGACGAATGAAAATGGAAAAATTGAAATCAGAAAAAATTCTTATTCAATTGAAATTATTGTCTTGAAATACAATGCTTTAGGACGGATATATTAGCCTCAGAGAGAGTACAATGTAGGTTTACAAAATGATCCCTGGACTTCAGAGCTTTAGTTATGAGGAGAGATTATACCAATTAGGCCTGTTTTCTCCAGAATTAAGCAGGCTAAGGGGTGATCTGATCAATGTCTTCAAGATAGTAACAGATAAAGATAAATTATTTCTACTGGTTGGGGATTCTAGAACTAAAGGATATAATCTGACAATTAGGGCCAAACTGTTCAGGAAAAATGTCAGAAAGTGCTTCAACTAACAAAGGTTTGAAACTCTGCCACAAGTAGTTGTTGATGCTAGATCAGTTGTTAGTTTTAAATCTCAGAGAGATTTTTTTTTTTTGTTAAGCAAAGGTATTAAAGTATTAAGGTACATGGAGAAAAGGCAAGTATATGAAGTTAGTGCAAAGATCAGCCATGATCTCAATGAATGATGGAACAGGCTTGAATGGCTGAATGGCCTACACCTGTCCTATGTTCCCATGTAAGACCATTTTTTCAATGTGAGACGATACAAAAAACCCAGAGATGACAGGGAATGTAACCTCTATAGCACTGACAACTATAACTTTTCAACTTTAATGAACAGAATTTAAGGAAGATTTCTGAAAAGCAAAACGTAAAGAGAGAACTCAAACTCTTTATAAAGACAGCAAAACTGAGGATAATCCTTTATTGGCAATTCATCTTCATTATATAGTAATTAAAGAAAATACTGACACATTTGAAGGACCTGCTTAAGGAGACTGAACATTTAACACAATGTTTTAACTTTTACAATCAGTTCCAATGAAAAGTAAAATCAGTTACATTTACAAAAAAGAATTCCTTGTAACAACTTCCAAACAAAATTATTCAAATAAGAGAAGCAGCAGAAGTTAAATACACTGAGAAGGAAGAAAGATATTAAACTTCCAAAATCACAAATCCTTCAAATTAGGAAATTAACTAGATTATATGGAAGAGACAATTTGTGCAATATGAAATTGGTTTAGGATTACAGAAGAAACAAGGCAAATTACTCTGTAAGAGTCTGATTGCACACCATGTTTTAAAGTGACAAAATTAACAGAAGAGAAATAGATGACAATTTAACAATTACTTAAGTACCAATCATATAATGGAGAAAGCATGATTTAGCAGAAGAACACAACTAACTGAGGAACCTGTTGACAATTTTATTAATGGTCTTTACACCTCATCAGATTTTTGTAATAATGGTGATATACAACCAGAATCACCTTGTGAGAGAATTATTATCTGACTTTCTGATACATCTCTTTTAACTGTTAGAATCAAAAGAGGATATCATATTGGAAACAGCTATCCAAATAGTAGTGGAAGCTGAAATTTTAAAACTGCACAAGTGAATAATAGGGACAAAAAGCTAATCTGGTTTAAGAAGCTCATCAGACTTCATCACCTTTCTAAGATACAAGAACAATGAAACATCACACAATGGACAAACACAAAATATATTTATTCTTAGTATTTACCCTGGGCTGAACGTTAAATACTTTGGCAAACTGTTATTTTTGTTGAGCTTCTCTTTAGGAGGTTTCTTTACAGGAGGCCAAGCAGGTCTTCTCATGCTGTCATCCCAAACTCACCTCATTAACTACAACCATTCCCCAATGATGCCCCTCTCATCCAATGTTAGCCCAATCCCCCTACTTGTTGTAGCCGGAAGTTCTCATCACTGTTGGGATATCCTGGGAATCCCGGCATCACAGCAGCTCAATTTTCAAAGGCCATTGTACACCCAGTTAAGCACTGTCAGTTTGGAGTTGCCCTGCACCTTTAAATATGGGAGAGTATGGGATGCTGATACCCTGCTTTGCAGACAGGGACTTGGAGCGCCTGGTCAACAGTATGGTACAGAGGAGGGATGTACTTTTTCCGTAGGACTGGCAGAGTAGGCCACAACACCAGACCAGGCCAACCTGGTCCAAGGTTATCACCTGGATCAGGACAGTCTCAGCCATCTTGAGGAACACCCAACATTGCAGGAAGAAGATCAATGACTTTCTCCGCTCCACCAGGGTAAGTCCTACCATACTGCCTCTGCTACTTCTCCCTCACTCCACTGCTTCTACTGCACACACCTCCCACCGAGGCTTGTACTCTACCACTCACAATTTGATGTAATATCTTCCCAACTCACTCTTACCTACCCAATTTGCTTGTACCACTATCTCTGCACTGCCTATCGGGAAACCTCACCGTCTTTCCCCCAGCAGCACTTAGTACAACAGCTGTGTCACCCACTTTCATCTCATTCAATCTGTCCTTTATTCTCAGTCCTGGAGAAAACAGCCCAAACCAGGCAGGAACAGCCAGTACTGGTGGTTGGGAGCCCAAAATTTGGCTCCTCACTCCCTATGAGGGGAGGAAGCTGACCCCAAACACCTTCAGTATCCGAATGACTGTGCTCAAATCCTTGAATTGCTACCAGAGGTTGCCCTTGACTCAGCAGAATGAGACAAAGATTGAGTGTGTATACTCTCAGGAATTTTGTTCAAGGTGGACAATTGGTGCAAAAGTGCATTCATGAAGATTCACTGCAAGAAGTGAACTCTCCAAGCAAGAGTTGAATGGGAGAGGCTAAAGGTTGTAGGTCAAGAGGGCAACCTGCAGTTGAGACCAGCAGCTGAGTGACAGCATGAACCAGAGCGTGATACGAGTGCAGGAAAGGATTGGTGAATAGGTTTGGTGAATCATAGAGATCTCACAGTGGGGAAGGAGGCCATTTGCCCCATCAGGTCTACAGTGACCTTCCAAAGAGCATCCCACCTATCCCATGACCCCAATTTACAATGGCTAATCCAACTAACCAGCACATTTTTGGACATCCTTGGAATATATCTAGTCTTTAAAGGAAGGTCTTCCGTTTGTATCTAGGTCACCATGTTGGTTTCTTTCTTCCTTTTTCTTTCCTTACAAATAGTTGCTTAATCGAAAGACTGATAGTAGTGCTTTTTTTTTACTTTATAAAAACAAAATATCACTGTAAAGCGTGAAGACAAGGGAATCTAGAGTAATTAATTTATAAATTAAAAATGATAGTGATGTGCATGTTTGACAAAGGCCAATAAGAAGGATTGGTAGCAGTGTTCTGTGGACGGGTCACTGGACCCGAAATGTTAACTCTGTTGTTTTCTTCACAGATGCTGCCAGACCTGCTGAGCTTTTCCAGCAACTTCTGTTTTTCTTGTTGGTAGCAGTAACTCTGTTCAAGATGTCCCAGGTCACGTAATATTAAAAATTGTGAGAGCAGTGAGGACTTTGCCAATGATAAGGTCAGGGTACTATACTGCCTGCTGTATGATAATCAAGTGCTGAGCTACAATGTATGTCAATCCACCAACCCATGGAGAACTGTAAGAAATACACTGAATGGAACTTCAGCATTTTGTATCTAGAAGTATAATATTTTAAAATTTCTGGGTACCAGAATAACATCTAATTGTAACTGTCCTACTTAACAGGAATGAGTTCATTTTTGTATTGACCTAACTGCTAGTAGGCGTGCAAATTGCCAGGATCTAGTGGAGAGTCACTTTGAAGCATCTCTCAAACAAGACAATTTCTGTTTGAACCCGACCAACTTGTGAGGAGATCCATGTAAAATACAATATAGAAACGGAACCAGAAATTTATTTTTATCTCTAAGAAAACCAAAACTTCAAAAGCATGTTTTTTTGTCGTAAGAAAGGGAATGCACCATTGGCCCATTTTGTTAGTTTTGAAACTAAGGCGGCTTTTTAAACAAGTAACGAAAATTTTACAAGTACCGGATTTAGTTTAGCAATCAGATGTGTTATCTTCAAATAAAGATCACTCATATTATATAATATGATATAAATTAAATAATTTTAAAACCTGGGACTGTGAAATAACAACTTTAAAAAAGTTCAGAGATAGTAGGAACTACCGATGCTGGAGTCTGAGATAACAAAGTGTAGAGCTGGATGAACACAGCAGGCCAGGCAGCATCAGAGGAGCAGGAAACCTGACGTTTCGAGTCTGGACCCTTCTTCAGAACTGTTTCTTTGTACGGAATAACCCGCCGGGGGATCTACAATTCCCAGGGGTCCACGCGCCGGTTACCGTGGCGACCACGGGCGCCGCCGCCATCTTGTGAAACCGCACGGTTGCCGCAGCAACGGGCGCCGCCGAAGAAGACCCTGTTTGTGAGGAATTGAGGAAAGCAACCATCCTTCAAAAGTTTAATATAGTGAGAAGCCGCTGATCAGAAGATGGGTCAGGATTACTACACTGTCCTGGGGATTATTAGGAACGCAACGAACGCTGATATTAAGAAAGCGTGAGTGATTTTATCGGTCCTTACCAAGCACAGTGGGACCGGAGCCGGTTATTTGGCTCAAACCTGTTCCAACATTTCAGTAAGATCATGGCTAATTTGCCTGCTTTGTTTCCATCCCCCTAAGGTAACAGATCTGGTTGCCAGACAATTTGGTGCACCCTGTCTAAATAACAAAATCAGAGGAATGGTCTGAGAAAGGGTCACCAGTCCCGAAACGTTAACTCTGTTTTTTCCTTCACAGATGCTGCCAGACCTGCTGAGCTTTTCCAGCAACTTTGTTTTGAACAAAATCAGGGCCTTTTAACTTTAGGTTTTCCAGGAGTTAAAACTAAAATTCTGATCCCCATTCAATGTTTAAACATTTTGGAACTCCTGCTGTATTCATTGTCCAGGGTTAGCTGGAAGTCACCGCATTGTTTTGCCCCACGTCCGTTAGTATGTTTGGTTAACCCAAATGCTATTGATTAATGCAAATCAGGGCAGGACTTATACACTTAATGGTAGGGCCCTGTGGAGTATTGCCGAGCAAGGAGACCTTGGAGTGGAGTTTCACAGTTCCTTGAAGGTGGAGTTGCAGGTAGACTGGGTAGTGAAGAAGGTGCTTGGTAGGCTTGCCTTTATTAGAGTTGGGATGTCACGTTGTGTCTGTACAGGGCATTGGTTAGACCATTTTTGGAATACTGCGTGCAATTCTGGTCTCCCTGCTATGGGAAAGATGTTGTCAAACTTGAAAAGGGTTCAGAAAAGATTTACAAGGATATTGCCAGGGTTGGAGAGTTTCAGCTGTAGGGAGAGGCTGAATAGGCTAGGACTATTTCACCTGCAGGATCGGAGGCTCAGAGATAACCTTATAAAGGTTTAGAAAGTCATGATGGGCATTGATAGGGTGAATAGCCAAGGTCTTTTTCCCAGGGTGCTTTTTCAAGTAGAAACCAACAGTTATACTCCTGAGAAGAAAACGCTGATTGGTAGAGATATTGCCATAGTGAGTACACCAATTAATGATGATTGATAGTTCTGTGTTGTGTGTTTCAGCAACAGGTAAAGTTAGCTGTTTCACGCTGCTACTTTGCAGTAGCAATATAATCAGTAAAATAAAACAAGAAATGTGGATGCTGGAGATTTGGCAGCATATGTGAAGAGAAAACAGTGTTATCAGTTCAAGTCCAGTGATTCTTCTTCAGAATCTTCTCCACAGAGGCTGCCAGACGTGATGAATTTCTACAGCAATTTCTGTTTTTGTTTATTGCAATATAAGTGAGGGGCAGGTCATGCCTCACAAGTCTTATTGAATTCTTTGAGGATGTGACAAAACACATCGTTGAAGGTAGTGCAGTGGATGTGGTGTATATGGATTTTAGCAAGGCATTCGATAAGGTTCCACATGGTAGGCTCATTCAGAAAGTAAGGAGGCATAGGATTCAGGGAAATTTGGCTGTCTGGAATCAAAACTGGCTGTCCAATAGAAGACAGAGGGTGGTAGTAGATGGGAAGTATTCAGCCTGGAGCTCGGTGACCAGTGGTGTTCCACAGGGATCTGTTCTGGGACCTCTGCTCTTTGTGATCTTTATAAATGTGGGGGTTAGTAAGTTTGCCAATGACACGAAGGTTGATGGAGTTGTGGACAGCGTGGAGGGCTGTTGTAGGTTGCAACAGGACATTGACAGAATGCAGAGCTGGGCAAAGAGGTGGCAGATGGAATTCAACCCAGAAGAGTGTGAAGTGATTCATTTTGGAAGGTTGAATTTGAATGCAGAATACAGGGTTAATGTCAGGATTCTCGGCAGTGTGGAGGAACAGAGGGATCTTGGGGTCCACGTCCATAGATCCCTCAAAGTTGCTATCCAAGTTGATAAGGTTGTAAAGAGGCGTATGGTGTGTTGGCTTTCATTGGCAGGGGAATTGAGTTTAAGAGCTGTGAGGTTGTGCTGCACTCTATAAAATTCTGGTTAGACCACACTTGGAATATTGTGTTCAGTTCTGGTCACCACATTGTAGGAAAGATGTGGAAGCTTTAGAGAGGATGCAGAGGAGATTTACCAGAATGCTGCCTGGACTGGAGGGCAGATCTTATGAGGAAAGGTTGAGGGAGCTAGGGCTTTTTTCATTGGAGCGAAGAAGGATGAGAGGTGACTTGATAGAGGTTTACAAGATGTTGAGAGGCATAGATAGAGCGGATAGTCAGAGACTTTTTCCTAGGGCAGAAATGACTATTACGAGGGGGCATAATTTTAACGTGATTGGGGGAAGGTATAAGGGAGATGTCAGAGGTAGGTTCTTCATACAGAGAGTGGTGGGCGTGTGGAATGCGCTGCCGGCAGTGGTCGTGGAGTCAGATACTTTAGAGACTTTTAAGCGACTCTTGGATAGGCACATGGAGGATAGTAAGATGTAGGGTATGCAGGGTAGATTGATCTTAGTAGGATAGTAGGTTGGCACAACATCGTGGGCCGAAGGGCCTGTACTGTGCTGTACTGTTCTATGTTCTATGTTCTGTGTTTAAGTAGTGTTCACCACTAGCAGACTGCTGCTGTCAAGACAAAAAAACACACTCCGTTTATCACACAAATAAGTAATGTGTTATTTGAATTTCAGTGGCAGTATGATGCCAATTATATGGGCCATAAGCCCCAAAGACTGGCTGATTTGTATCAAACAGCATATTCCTTGGTTGGTTGTAGTAAGCAAAGTACTGACCATACCCAAAACATGCAACACCATGTCCAACATTAGATGTTATTCTACAATTGGACGTCTGTTCATAACCTTGCATGTGTGACAAGTTACACTAATAACAACTTTAGTATTGTTGGCCAGGCTTATAGTGCACTTGCATGTATAAATACAATTAGAAAACTGTGCTTATTTCAACTCAACAAATTAAGTAACAGCTGTTTGCTGGTTAATTTCTCAGGGCAATACCCTGAAGAAGCACAATCAACCTGTCTCGTTTAAAGTTTAAACAAAGCCTGGCAATTGATGGCCAATCATCGTTATTTGGCACATTCTCCACGGCACTGCCACCACCAGAGTCCACTTGCTATCCAATCAGTACTCTCCTGTCGTGCAGTATAACTGTTGATTTTCCCCTTGAATTGATATTTTCTTGCAAATTGTTCTATGACTCCAAGACAAAATGTGTCATTACTGATGTTTCTCATCGCTGGAGTGAGAATGATCTAGTATTAATTATCCTTTGTGGAAGAGTGTTCCATACTTTTACCACACTGTGTGTGGAGAAGTGTTTTCTAATTTCACACCTGAAAGATCTGGTTCTAATCTGTATTCAAGGTGCCCATTTATACACTTCCCATCCAATGAAAATAGATTCTCTCCATTTACTATATCTATTCCATGTACTATCATGAACTTTTTATCAGGGCAGTTAAAAAGTTGGTTAATATGAACTTTGAGACCTTACATTTTATAAATAGAGTCATAATGTATAAAAACAAGGAAGTTATGATGAAACTTTATCAAACATTGGTTCAGCCCCAACCTGTCTACTGTTCCCAATTCTGGGATTCACATGTTAGAAAGCATGTGAAGGCTTTAGAGGGGCAGAGAGAAGATTTAGAAAGATGTTTCTGAAGTTGGTTGACTTGATTACATGGATAGTTTCATAAAACTATGACTATTCTCCTTAGAGAAGGGAAGGTTGACAGATGATTTGACATAAGTGCTTGACAGATGGCCTAGATGAAATGGATAGAGGGAATCTGTTTACCTTGGCCAAAGTGGGAGAACTGGAGGACAGCGATTTAAAGCGAATAACAAAAGAATCAGCAACAGCATTAAGCAAAATATTTACACAGCAAGTGTTTACAATCCAAATACATTGCCTGAGAGTGAGATAGAGACAGATTCAATCATGATAGGAAGGATGTTGTGAAAAGGGTTTAGAGAAGATTTATAAGGATGTTGCCAGGATTGGAGGGTGTGCGCTATAGGGAGAGCCTGAATAGGATGGGGCTATTTTCCCTGGAGCGTTGGAGGCTGAGGGGTGACCTTATTGAGATTTATAAAATCATGAGGGTAAATAGACAAAGTCTTTTCCCCGGAGTGGGGCGGGGTGTCCAAAATTAGAGGGCATAGGTTTAAGGTGAGAGGGGAAAGATTCAAAAGGGACCTAAGGGGCAACTTTTTCATGCTGAGAGTTGTGCATGTAGGAATGAGCTGCTAGAGGAAATGGTGGAGACTGGTACAATTACAACATTTAAAAGGCATCTGAATGGGTATATGAATAGGAAAGGTTTAGAGAGATATGGGCCAGATGTTGGCAAATGGATCTAGATTTATTTAGGATATCTAGTCGGCGTGGACAAGTTGGGCCGAAGGGTCTGTTTCTGTGCTGTACATCTCTATGACTGTATGACTTTGAACTGGAGGAGAAAGAAAATGTGTGCTACAAGGAAAGAGCTGGGGAGTAGAACTAGTGATTTTTTTTCTTGCGGAGAGCTGGCATGGACATAATGTGTTGAATGGCCTGTTTCTGTGCTGTAATTGATGTATGAATTTATCCCTGAGTCTCTTGAATTCCATGGCATACAACCCCATTTTGTGTAATCTGTAATCATATCTTAACCCTTGTATTCCAGGTAACAATCTAGTAACTTCACACTGGTATCCCAACATTGCAGCTATGTCCTTCCCTAGCTGTGGGTCTGTTCTGAAAAAGGTTCACTGGACCTGAAACATTACCTCTGCTTTCTCTCCGTGGATGCTGCCAGACCTGCTGAGGTTCTCCAGTGATTTCTGTTTTTGTGTCAGCGGAGGGTAGAGCTACTTATAGTAAGGTGCCGGAGTGTGAGATTACAGGTGAGGGACACCCCCTTTCCTGCACCCTTAAAATATTTCTGTTGTTTTGTGATTCACATTTTATGACACTATCAATGATACAAAAATGAGAAAGTAGTTTAATTCTCTTCCATTTTGCATTAATACATTAAGATACCATACCACTTGCATAAATTTTTAGTAAATTTAGGAAAATTATTCTTCATGAATTGTATTTATTAATGAATCAATTCTAGTCATTCCATTTTTATGCCCTTTTTGCTTGAAAATAAACACTTTTGCTTTTCCTCCTGTTGTAGTCAGTTGAATTTGTTGGAAAATTATTCAAGGATCTTCATTTTCCTTTGACTTATCATTTCTAATTTCTATATATTTTGCAACAGTGGCAGGTTTATTTGACAACTAATTAATACAAACGGATAATAGGTGACACTAACAAATGGAATTAGTTATATCAAGTTTTATGTTCGATAAACACATGTATTTGCCCATCGTCAGCATTTCACAATATTCCTACAGGGTTATCCAGATATAAATGGTGTTGTGGAAATCAATAATTTTAATGCCACCAATAATTCAGGTTCAAATTTATCTCAAATTGCTCCAATCATTGTTGGCACATGCACACAGTGGTATCTGTGGCTAGTGCTCTCAATTGGCATGATACCTACATTTAGATGTTTTATGGACCGAGAAGAACAAATAGAAAGGAGCAGATTATATCTTGCCATTCTAAGGATTCCATTGTGTAAATTATAGCACTATTTTAGACTGCAGGCCTTGTTTTGAAATCCCTCCAGGCTCCTGCAGCCTTATAGATCGAGGTGTTCTGCTAATTTTGCCCACTTGAACATTCCTGATTTAAGTTACTCCATTGTTAGCTGTGCCAGGACCCCAAGTTTTGCCTTATTGTTCACCTCTGCCTTTCTATCTCTCTTTCCTTCTTAACATGTCCTTAAATACATATATCTTTGAGCAAGTTGTTGGTCATAGAGTCATAGAGATCTACAGCACAAAAAAAGGTCCTTCGGCCCATCATGTCTGTGCTGGTCAAAAACAACTGCCCAACTATTATAATCCCATTTTCCAGCACTTGACCCATAGCCTTGTATGTCTTAGCATCGCAAGTGCACATCTAAATACCTCTTAAATGTAATGAGGACTTCTGTTTCTACCACCCTTACAGGCACTGAGTTCCAGATTTGCAACACCCTCTGGGTGAAAAAGTTTTTCTTTACATCTCCTCTAAACCTTCTGTCTCTTACTTTAAATCTATGCCCCCTTGTAATTGATCATTTCATCAAGGGGAAAAATTTCTTCTTGTCTGCCCTATCTATGCACCTCAATCATGTCCCCTCTCAATCTCCACTGCTCCAAGGAAAACTAACTCAATTTGTCCAATCTTTCTTCATAACTGAAACTCCACAGCCCAGGCAACAGGTTGGTAAATCTCCTCTGCCCCCCTCTTCAGTTGTATCAGATCCCTCCCATAATGTGAATTCCAGGACTGCACATAATATTCTAGCTATGGCCTAAACAACATTTTATACATTTCCAGCATTACCTTCCTGCTCTTAAACTCTATACTTTGATTAATTAAGGCAAGTATACCATATGTTTTCTTAACCACTTTATCCACCTGTCCCCCGATACTTTAAGGGACCAGCCAAGATCCCTCTGATCCTTGGTGCATCCCAGGGTCCTCAGAAAACTCCAACCATCTTGTCAAACACGACTTCCCATTCACAAATGCATGCTGACTATGTCCAATCAGATCATTATTATCCAAGTGTCCAATTATCCCATCCTTTACTATTCCCTTAGTTTGTTTGTCCTGCTTGAGTGCATCAGCTCACATTTATCCTTATTAAATTCCATTTGCCACTGATCAACCTATCGGACCAACCCATTTATATCCTGTAGTCTAAGGCAATCCTCCCCACTATTTACCATGCTATAAATTTTTGTACCAATTTTGTGAACTAATGGATCAACCCTCTGACATTCAAGTCTAAACCATTCGTATAACCCACATACAGCAAGGGGTCCGACGCTGAGCCCTGTGGGACCCCACTGGACACAGACTTCCAGTCAGAAAAACACCCTCAACTGTCACTCTCTGCTTCCTGCCACTCAGCCAATTGTGGATCTAATGTGACAAATTTCCTTGGATTCTATGGGCTTTTACCTTTGTTACCAGTTTCCTGCGTGGACCTTAAGAATTCTGCTTCCTCCAAACCTTTCACACAACAACTATCCCAGTTAATGTTGGGGAAGTTTAAATCCCCTATCATCATTATCCTATTAATTCTCACTTCCCTGAAATTTGCCTTCATACCCGCTCGTTTATTTCTCTCCGACTGTTAGAAGGGGGCCTATAGTAATGTCCCAGCAGTGTGATTTCTCCTTTTTGCTATTTAAGATCTACCCATATGGCTTCACCTGAGGAGCCTTCTAAGATGTCATCCCTCCTTACTGCTGTCATAGATTCCCTAAACATCTGGTCTAATATACAGATGTGGCTCGATTTCAGATTCACTTGGTAACATTTGCAAAGTGCCTAATGATGTTTTATTATTCTAAAGTCAATATGTATGTGTAAGTTGCTTTAAGGTCCTCCATTTACATTTCATACATTTCTCCCAGATGTAAATGATGTTATGTTTTAAAAAGGAGCCAATTTAACCAGACTTTCTTGAATTAACAAAAGGAGTGAGTTTATCATTTATTAGATGCAGGAAGATTTAGTCATGCAACACAAATAACACACCGATTAGAAATAAGAGGTGAGTCTAAAAATATAAAAGAAATATATTGATCAGTTTCTGAACTGATTGCAAAGAGCAATAGTTGAATCTTGCAGCAGTGCCGTGGAGGTTACCAGTGGCATTGATAAACAGTCAGTTTCATGATTCATAGTATTATAGATTGTTTGAGATTTTGTAGTTCAGATGCCTTTCAGGTGCGATTGAGTTCTGGAATTCATGATGAGAGACATTCCTTTATTGTTCTTCTTTTAATTGGTTTTCAGCACTCAAAGTGAGAGTGGGTCTTCCTTTACCTCCAAAGCAAGGGTAACTAGGGAATCGTTCTTTGTCTGTGACTTTCACAGCATGCTAATGCTCAACCTCAGGATGGTACACAATAGCATTCAGTCCTTTAGTTTACTTCAGTAGAGCTGAAACTGGCTTTTTAACCACTGTATTAACGTATTTTTCAAAGAGAAAATGCAAGAAGTGTCTGCATTTTAGGACATAGTCCACAGGGTGTGGCTTACTGTTAAGCATGGGTTCATCTGCCTCTCATCGTCTTTGCACTCAATGAACCACAGTTCACTCTGTTTGCCAGGTGATTTAAGTTTAAGGGAATTTAAGTTTCCCAGGCATTTTATGCATGTTTCATGAGCTTTACACAGGACTTTGCCCCACAGTCATTGAATTTAAATCCACAGTTTTTCTACAACAATCCTCCTTTTGATAACAACACATGAGTAAAAATGTTTATGAATACTTTGAGATTCTGATCCATTGTCACAAGTATTATGTTCAATAAACATATATATGTGCCCACCATCAGCATTTCATGTTGTTTCTACAGGATTGTCCATGTATAAGATTGAATACAGTTGCAGCTTAAGCCGTGACAAATCCATGACTTGTTGTACTTTCATCGTAACTTTTACTTTTTTATATGTCACAAATAATGCTACTGATCTTTTACCTTTCATAGAAAATAAACTCGATGATGAATGTGATCACAAAATAATAACAAAATTCAGAGATTCAATATAATGAAAAGGAATTTAAACATATTTTGTCAGCTTGAGGCAGTGGCCTAAACCACAAGTCTTTATTTTCCAATGAAGGATAATTTGCCTGAAATGTTAACTTTGTTTCTCTTTCCACAGGTGAGGTCAGGCCTGGAGAGTATTTACACCATTTTCTGCTTTTATTTCTGTCTTTGTTTTGAATTATTTTTCAGTTGTAATTAGGTTTTGCGTGTTTTGTAGGATGACATGTATGAAAGTGGACAATGCATTTCCTCCTTAAACCATTGTGGAAATAAATGGAAAGGGAGAAGAATCTTAGTGCACTTTACTGATGATTTATATCTGCCATTTAGGTACCGTAAATTGGCCCTAAAATACCACCCAGACAAAAGTACGGATCCATGTGCAGAGGAAAAGTTCTTACAAATTGCAGAAGCGTATGATGTTCTAAGTGATTGTGAGTATTGTAATTTTTATTATTGGGAGCTATAAAATGGGGAAAAAAGATGATCGGCCAAAGCAAGCTAAACTTCTTTGCAAATTCGATTCACATGAGCATAGTTACCGTAATATGGTTACAATGGTATATTTATCATATACTATCTTTGTACTGTGTGTAGAATCTCCCCAAGGGTTTGGATTTTGTGCATTATTGTTGTATTTATAACTTGATTGTAATTGACGTTTTAGACTCATTGCATACTGGTCTAAATATGCCATCTCCCAATACAAATAATTCAGAAGTATCTCCCTTGATACCTGACTTCAGTTGTTGGTAAACAATAACCTTATTTGAAGTAAGTATTATATTGGGATGATATATGGTACATTGGTGGAATGTAGATTAAATCCTCCTAAGTAAATAGATATTTATCATATGCCAATCTATCACACAGATTAACTTTCTAGGTTTTCCAAGTATTTAGTAGGATTGAGAATTATAACATTTTAGTGAAGTTTAGAAATTCAGATTAATTGAAATGTGAGAATTACTCAATTTTATTTTTTTCAGTAAAAAAGAAAGCGACCTATGATAAATTTGGTGAGGAGGGATTGAAAGGAGGAATTCCCATTGAATTCAGTGAAACTGGTGCTTGGACAACTGGATATACCTTTCATGGAAATGCCAACAAAATTTTCAGGGACTTCTTCGGTGGAGATAATCCGTTTGCAGGTACTTACATTAGCATTTTAAATAACAATAAGTAATAATGTTAACATGTATTATCTACTGGATTATGAATATGCTGCTTGTCTGTACATGCCAATTAGAAAAATATACCTACTGGTGACAATTTGTGCAAAATACACACTATCACTTGATGTCAGAATGTATCCTGTTTTATGGAAAGAAAGAACTTTTTTATATAGTGATGTTCATGACCTCAGAATGTCCCATGTGGAAGCATCTGTGTAGCATCATAGCTTGGTTTTGAAAATAACTTCTTATCCACTGTTGCCTTATTAATCAGATCATAACATTTGTAACTGTCTTCAGTACTGAATGCCTTCATTGTATTACAGCAGCCAGACCTGCATGCTGAATTCAAACCCTGGTTCATATGGTCTGTCATCTAGTTGATTGCAACTTCGTTTGACTTGTATCCCACTGTTTTAGCTGTAAGAAGCTAGATCATCCACAACTTAATAAGGATATATTTTCCGACTCCTTGAGAGCAGTCCTAAGACACAAAAACTATTAGGATTATTTCCTTGAGATTAGAAAGACTGAGGGGTGATTTAATCAAGTTGTTTAAAACTATAGGTTTGGTAAGGTAGATACAAAAATTATTTCCTCTCGTGGGGAATTCAGAACAAAAGAGATATTATCTTCAACTTAGAGCTGACAAATCAGGAAGAACTTTTCTTCAAACAAAGTGCAGTAGAAATCTGGAACTTCTTTCCTAAAGGCCGTGGAAGCTGGGCTAATTCAAATTTGAAGACTAAGATTTTATCAACGGTGTGCCAATCCTGACATTATTGAAACTGTGTGTTACTTCTGCTTTTTCTCTTTTTGCCTTCTCTCTCAGAATGATAATTAAAATTCTAAGTCCCAGTGGTGTACATTTAAAACAAATCAAATTTATCCAAAAAAAGTGTGCAGAAGACTGAACACGAGATGTATTTGAAACAAATCTGTTTATTCCTGAAGATCTTCACAGCCATTAGGAAATAAAAAATGCTAATTTTTAACTTAATCAGAGCATTAATTACAAGAAGTTGCTGAATTCCTTAAAAACTCTATTCCAGCTCTCAAGAGAAATTTCAATTCCTTTCTGCCCCACTGTAGCTGTGATTTTTGCTTCTGGACATGAATGCAAACTTGGTGTCCCATTTTTGAATCAATAAGGGAATCAAGGGTTATGCAAAAAGAGCAGGAAATTGGAATTGGATTATTATTAGATCAGCCATGATCTCTTTGAATGGCAAGAGCAGACTTGATGGACCAAATAGCCTACTTCTGCTTCTACATTTTATGGATTTGAAACAATCACATGGAGCTGGTGTAATTATGTGGTAATTTACATTACTCAATTCTGACCAGTTGGATTGTATTTGTAAAATTGTCCAATCAGCTATGAAATAATTGTGTTTTATGCAGAATTTGATTATCAATATTGTACTTTTATGAGACACTATACTATTCTTCACTAGCTTTTTATTTAGAATTGATTCCATTTCAGATTCACAACCTCCTCTGTCATACACCCTATCTGACACAGTATGGAGCAAAGGAACACTCCCTCCAGCTAATCATTGGGAAGATTGCCACTATCATTGTTCACAGTTTTTCAGAAGATTTGTAGCTTGGGTTGTGGATGAGGTTGTGGACTTCCTCGCCGAGCCGGTGTATTTGGTTGCAGACGTTTTGTCACCCTGCTAGGTAACATTGTCAGTGCGCCTCCGGTGAAGCACTGGTGTTCTGTCCTGCTTGTTATTTATATGCCTCAGTTTGCTGGGGCTGTTGGCATTACTTCACGCTCTGTTTCTCAGTGGTTTGTATATCAGGTCCAGTTCAGTGTGTTTGTTGATGGAGTTCCGGATGGAATGCCAGGCCTCCAGGAATTCCCTGGTATGTCTCTGTTCGGCTCGTAGTATTATGGATGTGTTGTCCCAGTCGAATTTATGTCCTTCTTTGTCCATGAATATTGGAATCAGTGAGAATTGGTCGTGTCTCTTGGTGGCTGGTTGGTTTTTGTGTATCCTTATTGTCAGTTTTCTTCCAATTTGGCCTATGTAATGTTTTTCACAGTCCTTGCATGGTATCTTGTATATTACATTAGTTTTATTAATTGTGGGTATGGGATTCTTTATATTTGTCAGTAGCTGTCGCAGGGCGGTTGTTGGTTGGTGGGCTACCTTGATACATAGGGGTCTGAATTGTCTTGTGGTCGTCTCTGATATGTCTCTGATGTATGGTAGGGTGACTAGTGTGTCTGGCCATGTTGTGTCTTCTTGTTGTGGTCTATCGCTGAGGTAACAGCGGATTGTGCTTTTTGGGTCAGACAACAAGCCAAATAGTTAATGTTTTCAACTGTGAAAGGTTTCTGTGATGCTTTCATATTGAAGAATGATTATGTTATGCAATGCTGGGCTGTAGGAAAAGATTAATACTCCTTAGACAAGTTCTAATATAGTATGGCACTCAGGACTATTAACCCATGTAGTTTGATTCTTGTAGCTGCTGTTACACTGACAGTCAGACAGTGATGATTGATTGATTGATTGATTTAATGTCACATTTACTGAAATAAAGTGAAAAGCTTTGTTTACGAGCAGTACAGGCAGATCATAGTAAGCAAGAGTGTACAGATCAAAAAGATTTAGACAGAGTCATACAGTTACATTGCACAGAGTGCGCATAGATGAGATCAACATTAGCAAGTTCAGCATTATTTGAGGCTAGAGAGTCCATTCATCAGTATAATCAGTGGCATGGTGGCTCAGTGGTTAGCACTGCTACCTCACAGTGCCGGAGACCTGGGTTCAATTCCAGCCTTGGGAGACTGTCTGTGTGGAGTTTGCACAATCTCCCTGTATCTGTGTGGGTTTCCTCCAGGTGCTCCGGTTTCCTCGCACAGTCTGAAGATGTGTAGGTTAGTTGGGTTATGGTGGGATGCTCTGAGGGTCAGTGTGGACTTGTTGGGCCGAAGGGCCTGTTTCCACACTGTAGGGATTCTATGATTTTTGATAACGGCCGGGAAGAAGCTGTTCCTGAACCTACTGGTGTGTATGTTCAGGCTTCTGTACCAGTCTTTCATGATGTTGGCAGCCTTTCTGCAGCAGTGAGCCATGTAAAAGGAGCCCATGAATGGAAGGTTGGCTTCCATGATGGTTTGTGCTGTGCACACCACCTTCTGTAGTTACTTACAGTCCTGGGCAAGGCAGCTACCATACCAGACCGTTATTCACTCAGACAGTATGCTTTCAGTGGTGCATCGGTAGAAGTTGGTGAGGGTCCTACGGACATGTCAAATTTCCTGAGCCACCTGAGGAAGAAGAGGCATTGTTGTGCCTTCTTGACCATCGCATCCACGTGGTAAGTCCAGGACAGGTTGTCGGTTATCGTCACTCCTAGGAACTTGATGCTCTCCACCCTCTCAACTTCAGTTCCGTTAATGTAGATAGGGGTGTGATCTCCTCCTTTCTTTTTGAAGCCAATGATCAGTTCTTTAGTTTTGCCAACGTTGAAAGAGAGGTTGTTCTCATTGCACCACATCACCAAATCCTTCATCTCCCTTCTGTATTTTGACCCATCGTTGTTAGATATCCTTCCTGCTATGGTGGTGTCATCAGCTAACTTGTAGATGGTGTTTGTTTGGAATTTGACAACATAGTCATGGTTGTACAGTAAGGGGCTGATAACGCATCCTTGTAAACCAGCAATACATTTTCAATATGAACTTCTATTTCCAATGAAGTTACGTGTACCACCTACCTGCCCTTGGCAGTTTTATTTTGGTTTCTCTCCCATTATGTGTACTTGAAGGACTATTTATGGCTGGCAGGGATTTACCTGGTGCACAGCTGGGCTTTAAATATGGTGCTGATGGTGGAAATCCCTTGTGGTACTGGTATTAGCAAGAAATTCTATCCCTGGTGAGCACTAGATAGCATGAATGTGGCCCCACAGAGGTGTGGTGCACAGATAATAAAGTGAGCAGTAGAGAGCTGTATGATGTAACTCACTAGACCTCACAGAGAGAAATCGTCCAGGAAACTCCCTCAAATTGACACAACCAATCATTAATAAAATTCAGCCCAATGTCTCTATTTCCCATTCCAGCTACTCTTCTGAAAGTGAGATGGCCCATGAAGTGCTTAATTATGGACAATTTTTTGAATGACTTTTCCATGTTGAAAAAAGGATGTTAGGCTCAACAATAAAACAGTTGCTTATAGGCACAAGTGTAAAATACTTCCACAATTCATCATGGAGTTAGACAAAATCTAATGGGAGATCTGGTGGCTCAGTGATTAGCACTGCTGCCTCACAGCACCAGGGACCAGATTTCAATTCCACACTTGGGCAACTGTCTGTGAGGAGTGTGCACATTCTCCCTGTTTCTGCCAGGTGCTCTGGTTTCCTCCCACATCCAAAGATGTGCAAGTTAGGTAGATTGGCCATGTTAAATAGCCCATAGTGTTCAGGCATGTGGATGTTAGGTGCATTAGCCATGGGAAATGTAGGGTTATAGGGAAAGGGTAGGCAGATGGGTCTGGGTGGGATGCTCTTCAGAGGGTCAGTGGATTTGTTAGGCCAAATGGCCTGTTTCTACATTGTATGGATTCAATGGAAAATCTCAGGGCATTTACCTCACATAATCACTGTCCATTTCTTTTGCAGTAGACATTTTCATGCACTGCTTCTGCTGATGCAGGAAATGCCTGCCCAAAAGTGTTGGCAGTGTAATGTCGTACATCGCATTTTCTTCCTTACTGCCACAGCAGCATGACATGCATGGAATATCAATATTGCTCTTTATTTAACTTGTCTGACAATTCAACTTTTAAAGCACTTAGTTGTTTGGCTGTGTTATTTGTATTTCTGATTCAAGTTATCAGAAAATTAATTCTTTGAGTGTTTAAAAATGATTTTGAATTATCAGAAGTTTCATCAGGAATGACACAAATAAAAATGCATTGCAAGGAGATAATTGGTTGGGAGCTCACTAAAATAAAGTTCCAGTTTAATAAAGTCACACCTCTCAAGGGGAGGCAGAAATTCTGACCCACTGTCCTTTCATTGATACAGCAGTCAAGAGGAAGTTCTCAGACAGAATGTTTAATATTTTAAAAGTGCTACTGATGAGCAGCTTGTTTGGTACATTGAAGTATAGATTCTGAATGGTAATATTAAAGATAGTCATAGAGTCAGAGAAATATACAGCATGGAAATGGAGCCTCCGGTCCAATTTGTCCATGCTGATCAGATATTCTAAATTAATCCAATTCCATTTGCCAGCATTTGGCACCTATCCTGCCAAACCTTTCCTATTCATATACCCATCCAGATGCCTTTTAAATGTTGTAATTGTAGAGTTTCCACCATCTCATCTGGCAGCTCATTCCCTACATGCCCTGACCCCTGTGTGAACAACTTGCCCCTTAGGTCCCTTTTAAGTCTTTCCCCTCACATCTTAAATCTATGCCTCTAGTTTTGAACTTGGGGAGAACTTCTCACCCTATCCATGCCCATCATGATTTTATAAGCTTCAATAAGGTCACACTCCAGCCTCTGACACTCGAGGGAAAATAGCCCCAGCCCATTCAGCCTCTTCCTATAGCTCAAACTCTCCAACCCTGGCAATATCCTTGTAAATCTTTTCTGAATCCTTTCAAGTTTCACAACATCTTTCCCGTAGCAGGGAGACCAGAGTTGAAAGCAGTATTCTAAAAGTGGCCTCACCAATGTCCTGTACAGCCACAACATGACCTCCCATGACTCAATGCACTGATCAATAAAGGCGAGTGTACCAAACATCTTCTTTACTGTCCTGTCTACCTGCAACTCCGCTTTCTAGAAACTATAAACCTGCACCCTAAGGTCTCTTTGTTCAGCAACACTGCCCAGGACCTTACTATTAAGTGTATAAGTCCTGCCCTGATTTGCCCTACCAAAATGCAGCACCACACATTTATCTGAATTAAACTCCATCTGACCAAGGTCCCATTGAACTCTGAAGTAACCTTCTTCACTGCTCACTACACCACTAATTTTGGTGTCATCTGCAAACTTACTAACCATGCCTCCTATATTCACATCCAGATCATTCATATAAATAACAAAAGGTAGTGGACCCAGCACTGAACCTTGCAGCGCACCTCTGGTCAAAGGGCTCAAGTCCAAAAAGCAACCCTCCATCACCACCCTCTGTCCTACCTGTGAGCCAATTTTGTATCTAATTGGCCAGTTCTCCCTGTATTCCATGTGATCTAACCGTCCTAACCAGTCTACCATGCGGAACCTTGTCGAATGCCTTACTGAAGTCCAAACAGACAATGTCTACTGCTCAGCCTTCGTCAGTCTTCTTCGTCACTTCTTCAAAAAACTCAATCAAGTTAGTAAAACACGATTTCCCACGCACAAAGCCATATTGACTATCCCTAATCAGTCTTTACCTTTCCAAATACATGTAAATCCTGTCCCTTAGAATCCCCTCCAACAACTTACCCACCACTGATGTCAGGCTCACCAGTCTGTAGTTCCCTGGGTTTTCCTCACCACCTTCCTTAAATAATGGCAACACATTAGCCAACTTCCAGTCTTCTGGCACCTCACCCATGGCTATGGATGATACAAATATCTCAGCAAGGGGCCCAGCATTCACTTCCCTAGCTTCCCACAAAGTTCTAGGGTATACCTGATCTGGTCCCAGGTACTAATACAGCTTTATGCTTTTTAAGACGTCCAGCACCTCCTCACGTATAGTAATGAGAAACAAAGAAATGTGAACACTTACAATTGAGTATTTTCCAATTTGAACACAGAGATGGCAGGAACAACACTTGTCATGTTGACTGCCCTTGCGCAATCTTCTTGGATTAAGCCTCTTTCAATATTCAGAGTGAACCTCCATATAGAGGTTATAGAGTCAGACAGCATAGAAACAGATCCTTTGGTCCAACTTGCACATGCCAACCAACTTTCCCAAACTAAACTAGTCCCATTTGCCTGCATTTGGCCCAGACCCCTTTCCTGTTCATGTACGTATCCAAATGTCTTTTAAATGTTGTAACTGTACCTGCATCTATCACTCCCTCTGGCAATTCATTCCACATATGAACCATCCTCTGTGAGAAAGTGGTGCCCCTCAGGTCCCTTTTAAATCTTGCTCCTCTCACCTTACATAATTTACCTGTGACTGGAAATTTTTTTGATCATGTGTAAAGTATATTACAAGATGTGAGTGTAATCTAGACAACAGTGGACAAGCTGACTGCACAGCAGTTTTGTATGTTTTGCCTATCTAAATTTCTTTGATGGAACCCCTTTGGCTGCAAAATCTATCTTATAATGTCCATGTTTTACATACACCCTTATATAACTTTAAATAATGCAATTGAACTATGTGGCAAACTGTATTATTTTTACAAGCAATTGGAGGGCAAAGTGAATTTAGCCGGAAACTGTCTCAAAAGGAATTGTACAGAAGTGTAATGAATAGACCAAGTGCACTGCCACAGTTGCCCATAACTGAAAGTTATCACCCTTTACTCTGCAGATTTTTTTGATTCAGATGGAGACATAAGTTTGGGATTTGGAGGGCTACAAGGCCGAGGAGTTAAGAAACAAGATCCCCCTATTGAAAAGGATCTATATTTGTCTTTAGAAGATCTATATCATGGATGCATGAAGAAGATCAAAATCTCACGCAGGGTATAGTGATATTATTTCAAGGAATTGCTATGAATAATACAATTGCATTTTTATCTTATGGAACAGCTTGGGATTGGAAACGTGAAGGGAATTGGATTCACTGAGTGTAACTACACTGCTCCATCTATTGTCTGACTCAGAGTTGATCGAAAGTTTAACCTCAGATCATCTGGCATGTATGACGTAGAGCATTATTTCTTTTATCTTCTATGGGATGTGGGAATTGCTGGCATTGTTGCCCATCTCTGATTGCTCATGAACAGAGTGGCTTGCCAGGATATTTCAAAAGGCTGCTAGCAATCAACTATGAGTCTGGAGTCACATGTGGGCCAGACTGGGTAAGGACAGCAGATTTTCTTCTCTCAAGTAAACCAGAATTTTTACAAAAATCAACATTTTTTGGAGAGGCAGAGTTGTTATGTATCGTGGTGAAATAGATTTTCATGGTACCATTACTGGGACTAGATTTATTAATTGTATTTAAATTCTCGTCAGACACTGTGGTGAGCTTTGAGCCCTTGCTCTCAGAACATTAGTCAAGGTCTCTGGATACTAGGCTGGTGACATGACATTTACACCACTGCCTCCCTCTAGTTATTGTAATAGGTGGTACATATAAAGAAAAATCAATAAAACTGTCAATTGAGACATACTGTTTCAACCCATATTTTATAGTTCAGAATGGAGGACAAGTATGACTTTCCATTCATTACTGGCTTTTCCCTCTGAGAATCATTGGCTGAGGAGGTTATTTTATAGATACTGAAAGAGATAAATTATAGCGTGTATTATAATATAATTAATTTATAATATCATGGACTATTTTAATTACGTGAAGCTAAACATGTTTTTATAGAAATTATACAGTGATTGCATATAATGGTGACACAGATTGGTGCTCTGTAACCACCTTTGCCAAGGATTAGTAAGACAGTTTCATGAATCTGATTATAAACACACCTAAGTTCCTGGTCTACACACTTGCCAGAACAGTCCACTGGGTAGCAATCAGGATTCAATACTCTGTATTTTTCATTTTCCTCTCTGTGAAGTTAATGATAGGTTCCTGTGATGGCAATCAGACGACTAAACACAGATATTTCAGTCAGGGTTTAAATTGTGAGTATTCCCAGTCCCTTATAGCATCAGCCTCTTGGTAAACAAACATGGAATCTGTGACATTTGCTACAAGTCTCCAAGGACAACATTATATGTCTTATTAGGTCTGTAAAAAGATGAATTTAACTTTTAAGTGTATGTTAAATTTCTGACTGAATTTATTACAATGTTATTTTGTTAAAATTCCTTTACTTCATTACTTTTCAACAGGTTATGAATGAAGATGGTCACACTTCAAGCATTAAGGATAAAATCCTGACTATTCAGGTTAAACAAGGCTGGAAACCAGGAACTAAAATCAGATTCCCAAATGAAGGAGACCAGGTAGGATTTGTGTAATGTCTCCTCCAAATTTACTTGTGGAGTCTAGTTGTTGTCTTGTTAAATTTGTGCTGCACTCCACACAAAGCCAATATGTCCTTCCGAAGGTGTGGTGCACAAAACTGCTCGCAGCACTCCTTCCATGTTCTAACCAGGGTTTTGTGTAGTTGAGAATGAATTCTACCTGCTTGCATTTTAGTTCCCTAGATATTCCAGAATTCCAGTAGCCTTTTTGATTACTTTGTGTATCTCACAGAATCACAGAACTATTACAGTGCAGAAGGAGGCCATTCGGCCTACCTTGCCTGCACCGACTCTTATTATCTAGTCTGACACTACCATCTGGTGTCAATCTCCTGCCTTTTCCAGTATCCTTGCACACCATTACTACCCAAAAAGTCATCCAATGCCCTCATGAATGCCTTAATTGAATTTCATCAGTCTGTTCACAACATTTTAATGATCCACTAACCTGGTCCCCCAAGTTTCTTTGGAGCTCCATTGTTTGTAGTCCTTCACCAATTGGAAAGTACCCTGTCCAGTGTTCTTTTAGTTGCTGTTTACAAACAGATGGTGAGGAAGCTGACATGCTGATATGCTGCTGAAGGACAACATGTGTCACTATCACTGCCACTGTTATGTTCCCTGATTGTGCCTTTGAACATTTTCACTGATTTTCAGTTGAGTAGACTTCAAATGATGAATTACATAATGAATGACTTTAACATTTAAGCCATTACTATGACCACCGAGGACATATGCCTCTCCAGTATTGATGCCTCCCTCCGCAAGATGGAACAAAGCTCTGAATTTAGATTTTCCTTGAGACCATAATCTTCCGCCAAGTCATTGGCTCCTGTTGTGACAGCCCAAATGTGGTATTCCTGGATGTGTCTAAAATCACATGCAGATTATTTATTGCCTAGGAGGTTTCTGGTTGGAAGTGGACTGCCACACTTCAGCCATGGTGATGAATCTCCTTGGCAAGCCTTCTGAAACCTGATATAACTGCTTGTGAAAAGTGGACATAGGGAAGGATCTCACATTGTGATGAACTGTCTCCTGGCTTGTTCCTGACACCTGTTCCTAGTGCTGTAGATATTACACTGTATTTTAGTAATCTATTAGAATAAATTTTGAGAAGTAAATGCATTTTCAACAATGGGTTCTATTTAGAAAAATGTACAGTGAACATTTCAAAATGTTCAAAACTAGAGGGCATAACCTTAAGGAGGGAGGAGAAAGATTTAAAAGGGACCTGAGGGTTAACTTTTCACACAGAGTGGTTCATATGTGAAATGAACTGCCAGAGGAAATGGTGGATGGAGGTACAGTTACAACATTTAAAAGGCATTTGGACAAGTACATGAACAGGAGATGCTTACAGGAATATGGGGCAAATGCAGGCAAATGGGACTAGTTAACTTCAGGATACTTGGCATGGGCGAGTTGGACTGAAGGGTCTGTTTCTGTGCTGTTCGACTCTATGACTCTATGACTCTATGATCCCATGTGGACACTGCCCTTCAGAGATATGATTTATAGGCATTGGGTCCCATCCAAATTTTTCTGGTAACAGCAGACTTCATCTGATCACCCACATTTGATTTCTCAATTACCTCTATACAATCAAGATCGTAGCTATGAGTCAAAATTTACACCTCAGAGTAGCTCAGTAGCTTGACAATCTGATCAAAACCTAGTGACAAACACTATTATCTAAAAATCAGGAAGACTGCTTATGCCCACCTCCACAACACCATTCAGTTCAGCCTCCATGAAACTCTTGTCCACAAAACTCATTCCTCCAGAATCACCTATTCAACATTTCCTTTACCTTCCAACCTTGTGATCTGTACCATCTAGAACAAAGACAGCAGATACATGGGAACAGCACCACCTATAAGTACCTCTTCAAACTACATGCCGTAGTGACTTGAAATTATCTCGCCAGTTGTTCACTGTCACTGGTTCAAAATCCTGGCACCCTCTCCCTAACAGCATGGCAGATATAACTAAAGCACTTGGACTGTAGTGATTCAAGAAGGCAGCTCACCAGTACCTTCTCAAGGGCATTCACAAATGGGCAATAAATGCTGACTCAGCCATCAACGCCTACAATGAATGAATAAACATGCGATGATTACAACTAAACAAGCTATTTTCCACTAAGTTCCACTCCCCCATTATCCCTCCCTGTGATTTGCACATGCTGCTTCAATACATTGAATATTTTCCTTATTTTTAAATGCTTCCATTGTATTGTCCCATTCTATATCTACGATCATTTCTGCTATTCTTTAACTTTAAACATCCTTCAGTCCCCTGACTGCCTTATTATCAGTCTCATTCATTTTGTCCAATGTTTTCAGCCAATATGCATTTATTCTCTAGAAATTCTCCCTAAATTTTTTTAACCTTTCTATTTCACTCCACCTTTAAAAACCTCTTCATAACCCATGTTTTCAACCAAGTTCAGAGTCACATTTATAGCTCATCCACCATGGGTCAGCAATAGTTTCTTTACTTTTGTATTTGTTATTCTCCACCCCTGTCCCCACCCCCATAAATCATCTTGGGATTTTTAATACAATAGATGTATAAAGAATGGAATTTATCACTGCTTTTCATGTAGAAGGCCATTTCCAAAATTATTGTTTTTGTCTAATGCTTGCAGTTCCTAAAGCATCTTAAAAACAAAAAAAGAAGCTAAATAAAAGATGTCACGTTCATTGCAAAATAATTAAAACCAGGACACATAATTCTGGCAACTCTATGCTGCCCTCTGTGATTTTAAACTATGCACTTAGTATCGTTTACAGGATTCATAAACAAGGCTAGATTTAATCTATCTAAATTTATAATTTAATTTTTTTAGATGTTTCCAGTTAAAGTGCTTGTTTATACTGTAAATGGCTACTCACTACGCTTTGTTTAAATTAATTTTTTTATCTCAGTTTATTGATTTATAATTTGATGCAATCAGATAACAATCCAGTGACTGCGAATGGAGTGATTTTTCAGCCTTGAGGGGAGCGCATCAATTTCTAAAACAGCTCAGTCAAGTGGTTGCTAACTGTGAAGCCAGCCATATCTGCCTTGACTACTAAGCTTCAGATTCTACTTGATATTCATCCGTAGTACACACTTGCCTAGCCTGTCACGTGTTTGACTTTTGTGCTATCTGACATTCATATTCATCTGATATGTGCTGCCTGTAATGAACTGCTGCATCTCATGGTTTTTATGTCTTGTGCTGAGTCATGTCAAGTTACAATTTGTGATGAATTTGACATAGAGTCATGGAGATGTACAGCACGGAAACAGACCTTTCGGTCCAACTCGTTCATGCTGACCAGATATCCTAGATAAATCCTAGTCCCATTTGACAGCATTTGGCCCATATCTCGCTAAACCCTTCCTAGTCATATACCCATCCAGATGGCTTTTAAATGTTGTAATTGTACCAGCCTTCACCACATTCTCTGGCAGCTCATTCCATACATGCAGCACCCTCTGCGTGAAAAAGTTACCCCTTAGGTCCCTTTTAAATCTTTTCCCTCTCACTTTAAACCATGCCCTCTAATTTTGGATTTCCCCATCCCGGGCAAAAGACCCTGTTTATTTACCCTATTCATGCCCCTCATGATTTTATAAACCTCTATAAGGCCACCCCTTAGCCTCCAATGCTCCAGGGCAAATAGCCCCAGCCTATTCAGCCTCTCCCTATAGTTTAAAACCTCCAACACTGTTGCCACTGTGAACCTTTCCTGAACCTTTTCAAGTTTCACAATGTCCTTCCCATAGCAAGGAGACCAGAATTGCACACAGTATTGGTTATTTTTATCCTTCTCTCATTTTCTTTCCTGTCCTCTTCAGTCCTCTCCTGTATTAGGGAAACTCCACATTTTTAAACTCTATCCTCTAGTTCTAGACCTCCCCACAAGACAAATGTCCAGTCAGCATCCATCCTGTCAAAATATTATGCATTTCAGTAAGATCACTTTTCATTCCTCTGAACTCCAATAGGTTTGGCCCAATCGGCTCACTTTTTCCATAAGTTAAGCTCTTCATCCCGGGAATCAGTTGGGTGAACGTTCTCTGAATTGCTTCTAATGCATGATACTCTTTCTTAAGTAAGGATACCAAAGCTGTACATAGTACATTAGATGTGGTCTAACCTATACAACTGTAGTTTCATCTATACAACTGTAGGAACATTTCCCTTTTATATACTAAATTCCCCTTGTAATAAATGCCAACATTTCATTTGCTTTAATCACATGATACAATTGCACACTAACCTTTTGTGATTCAAGCACCAAGACACTCAGATCCCTCTGTTCACAGAGGCCTGCAGTTTCTCTCCGTTTCCCTTGAGGAAGGTTTCAAAGCTAGTAAATGAAATTCAGTAGTAAATGAAAAGGGCCCTATTTGCATGCTTTAATATCTCATTATTAGTTAATCTCACCTCATTTATATGAAGACTGCTATTCTCCCAAATATTGGTGAGAAATTAGATGCTGCCAATTCCTAACATGAATGTCACAGTGACTAACTGGCAACTGCAGCTTGGTAGTGTCTTTTCCGGACCTCCCTGTTGATCATCATTCCCTGGTGTCTCAGGGCATGCTCCATGGACAGCAACCACCTTGACCCTTTATCCATCAAAGTTGGCATCGACAAAACACCAGCATCACCACCTCTTCGTAGCACATCTTGGATTAACCACACTTCACTACTGCACTTTGGAACTCCCTGAAACCTTATGCTCCCGTGATGCCACACTGCATGCAGGGACACACACCATCTCATGCATTGATACAGGGTACACAGCTTGCTCTTGTAGCACTTACTTTGCATGAATTGAGATTTGATTTGATTCAGTTTGATTTGATTTGATTTATTTGTTGTCACATGTACCTAAGTAGAGTGAAAAGCTTTGTTTACGAGCAGTACAGGCAGATCATAGTAAGCAAGGACATACAGATCATAGGGTGAAA